TGGGATCAAACTTACCTAGGGAGTCCTTACCATTATTGTTGCATCCAAATGCCCCAAGATGGGATATATTTGGCTTTCTCCCTTTAAGTAACTCATAAGGAGTCTTCTAAACAAGAGTTCTAGCCATGCACCTATTTATTATATAGCATACAATGTTCACGACTTCTGCCCAGAAACTATGGGGAAGTTTACTAGAAAGAAGCATAGTCCTAGCCATTTCTTTCAATGTCCTATTCTTTCTTTCAACTACTCCATTTTGTTATGGAGTCCTAGGAGCAGAAAAATTATGATTTATACCAAGCTCATCACAAAATTTAGCAAATTTAGCATTCTCAAATTCAGTACCATGATCAGACCTAATTAATGCAAGTTGATGACCTAGTTGTTTATGAGTTTTTCTATCAAAAGAAGTGAACATGTCAAATGCTTCATCTTAAGATATTAAAAATAATGTCCAAGTAATCCTAGAATAATCATCAACAAGCACCATAACATATCTCTTACCACTTCTGCTCAATGTTCTTATTGGTCCACAAAGATCCATATGGACCAGTTCCATTGTCCTAGTCGTGTTTACCACTTTCTTGCTTTTGAAAGAGGATCTTACCCGCTCCCCCTTGCACAAACCTCATAAACTTTATCTTCCTTGAACTTAATGTTAGGCAGTCCTGTCACTAAGTCCTTAGAGACTAGTTTGTTGAGTTGATTTAGACTAGCATGTCCAAGTCTCTTGTGCTAAAGAAGGGGATCATTATCTAACACACTTAAGCAAATGAGTTCATTAGCTGAAAGTGTGGACAGATCCACAACATATATGTTGTTCACTCTTTTTTCCTGCAAAACTATCTTGTCAGTCGTAAGATTAATCACAAAGCATTTTGTAGAGGTGAATGCTACCATGTCATCTCTATCACACAATTATGATACACTTATTAGATTGTACTTCAGTCCATCTATCAAGTAGACTTTCTCAATAGAGTGAGAATCAGTCTTACCTACTTTTCTAACCCTAATAATCTCTCCTTTCTTCCCATTTCCAAATGAGACATTACCTCTTTTAAGGTCCTCAAGTGAAAGGAACTAGTTCTTACTTCCTGTCATGTGCTTTGAGCAACCACTATCCATGTACCATATTTGGATGCTCCCCTTCTTTTGGACCCGCAAAAGAAAATCAAGGGTTAGTCTTAGGAACCCAAACTAGTTTGGGTCACTTTCTATAGGCAAAAGAATGAATCAAATTCTTGCCCAACTTGGTAGCCTATTCTTCCCTTGAATAAATTCTTTGTTCTTTTGACTTGCCTTTTCTTTTGCAGTGCATTCACTTTTATAGTGACCAGTGTTACCAGAGTGTGTGCAAATCTTGTTCTCAGGATGTTTGAGGTACTTGCTTTTGGGATCCCACTTAGGTGCTAGGTTCCCAAAGCCAAATCCTCTTCTGTTGCTACTATGGTGTTCTTGTAGCCATGAAAGTGCATCGGAGGACCTGTTCCATTTACAAGTTCTGTCTAGCTTATGCTTGACTTTGCTTAGACCCTCCTTTAGGATTCTTACCTGCTCATCCCATTTGTACAACTAATCTTTCATTTTTTCTACATTTTCTTTTAAAGTGAGTTGTGTGTGATCAACTGTCTTTTTACCTGTTCCTAATTTTAGTTTTAGATTTACAAATCTAAGCTCTAGGAAAGTTGAGTCAAGTGCATGAACCTAGTTCTTCAATACAATATTTTCACTTACAGTTTCACTAACCCTAAGTTTCAGGCTTTTGCACTTGGCCTTCAAAATCACACATTCTTTAGACAACTATTCCTTTTCATTATTTACACCCTCACATTCATCAATTAGTTCTAGTAGTAACTCAGACAACCTTTCTTTAGACAACAATTTAATCTTGTATGTGGGATGAATTACACTTACCTTAATTTCTTCATCAGATTCTCCAATAGCCATAAGTGCTAGTTCATCCTCATCATCATCTGAGCTTTCTCCCTAACCAGCGAGCACAACCTTGGTTGAACCTTTGTTGTTGCTTTTCTTGGTGCACTTATCTTGATCTTCTCCTAAGGTGTTAGCCTCGAACTCAAACATGAACCAGGTCCATACAAAGTGAACACAGTCACGGGCAGAATTTGAGCACAAGGCAGGCACGTGAAGGAGATAAGATTAAGTAGATATATCTGATATCTCCTGAACAAAAAGGTTGCATAAATGATAAGGAGAAGGACTCCTTACTCGAAAAGAACTCTATCCGAGATAAGGGAGGAGTTAGAAGTTGAAGATAACTAGAACTCTTCCACCAAGGAAGAGTAAAGCATCAAACTTCTAGTTATTTCCTATTCTACTAACTCTATAAATTGCAGGATGTTCTCATTTCGTAGGTACGCACAAACGCTGAAGTTAAACGTGAGTTGAGAGAAAAATAGCAAGGCATTTTGCAAGCAATTCTTCTGTGATTCAAGTGTGCGAACCTGAAGCTACATGAACCAGATAGAAGAACCAATTCCAAGTGTTTATCTTTTATTCTAGGTTCATTCTAGTAGGTGTTTCAAGTTGTACCTTTCAGCTTTATCTAGAAGCAATTATGTTAGGTACTCTGAGTATTGTATTCAAGTTAGAGTTAACTTGAAGTTATCGCAATAGTTAGAGGTTGGATGCCACAACGGGATTAGAGGTAATCCTTTGGTTTACAAAGAGTTTTGTAAATGCTGTTTTGCATCAGTGATTCAGTGAAGTGTTGGAAAAAATCCTACTGAATAGTAGGTCATGATTTTTTCACCTTTTGAGTCGGGTGTTTTCTACGTAAAAATACTTGTGTTCTTTACTTTCCGCATTTACTATTTCTGTAACAGTAGTATAAGGAACACATAAAAGAACCAACTCCTTCTATAATCTGTACACGCGAAAAATTGGACACCACACAAATCACATCCCCCCTCCCCTCATGTGTGGCATTAAAGTATAAAATATCAATTAGTATCAGAGCAGGTTATCCTTACTTGGGCCAACAGATGGTTATGCATTTTGTACACATTAATCAGGTAAATCATTGTTTATATTTTAACTTAAACTTCTCACACTGACGATGATGTTTATAACTTAACCTCTTTTCGGGGCAATCCCATATGCCATGTGAATATCCCGTTTCACATTCTCCTCTTCTCATTTTAAAGTATTATTCAAATTGGCCCTAATCCATGACATGCAGGCTTGAAGATGACTTCTAATGTGGTACTAAATAAATATTACAGTAGACTAAACGGTCAAATCTACACAATATGGAGGTGGTTATGCATTTTCTAAATATTACATGTTTATCTCTTTGATGTGTGATTTTACAAGGTATATCTTACGGACATGGGCGAAGCTAGGGGTTCACTTGAATTTCCTTTGCCTAAAAATTACATTGTATTAACATTATTTTTGTGTATATATAATAGATAATGAATTCCTTGATATAACTAAGAGCTTTTTATATGTTCTTTATATTTTATTTTATTTTAGTGGAATTTATGGCTTCAATATCACTGCTTATGGTGGATGTCTATATTATTTTCAAGAACTTACGCAAACAAAAATCAAGAATGAGTAACACGGTGATGGTAATTGGTAGGATGGGAATAGGAAATGTTGGATTATTAAAAATACGAAATTAATAATACACGCATCAAGATCTTCTACGTGATTTAACTAACTAAAATAAACGAAACAAAGAAATGTGTAGTCAGTGGGAACGAGTTCAAGTTATTTGATTGAAAATAATACAGGAAGATTAAAATTCATTGTACAACGTAATTAAGAAAATAAAATAGTTAATTTTCACACATCTGTATGATTTAATTATTATGCACAAGAAAGGTTAGAGGTTGATCAAAAGACGGCAAAGGTGAATTGCGAACATTTTTAAGAAAAAGATATTTGAAGATATTTTTAATCAACAAAGATCTGTAACAGTCAAAAGTTTGTAGCTTATTTATAAGTTTGATTTGGTTTTGGTTTGATCCAAAACAGAAAATAATTTCTCTTCTTTTTAAATATTTAGAAAGGTTTTATTCGAGAGAAAATTAATGGTTTTGGTAACCAAACAATTTTTTTGTATGTTTTAGAGATTCTTTTTTTCCTCAAAAAGATTTTGTGGGCCAAACATGTCTTAGTCTTCTTGTTGCTTTGTTCTTTATTGGATAAAACCATATGCAATTTGATTACTCTCTTCCAAGGCGTGTCTTAGCGGTGGTTTGTCCCTTTTGAGAGACTTGCAATTTTTACAAGGGAAATAATAGAAGACTACGTCAAAGTTATTAAAATTGTTTAGGATGTGATATTTACTAATTTATTAATTTTATTTAGGTCTTGAAGAAAAATATTTTACTCATGATAATCGTTGAATCTCTGAATGATCGTTACAATTCTCCACACGTAAAAATAACTAGTAACATTTCTATTTATAATAGTAAGAAACCTACATTAACTAGAAATTGGAAAACCTATTTATTCCTATATAATTTTGAATACAAAACCTAGCTAGACATTAATTGAATAAATTAACAAATATCAAATCCTAAATAATTTTGATTTCCTACTCCAATTTTGAATTAGTCTTCCAACAGGTTTTGTTTAGGAATAAGTTTCCAATTTCTAGTAAAAGTAGGTTTCATAGTAATCAGAATTATTAAGGAATAAGTTTTCCAATTTCAAGTAAAAGTAGGTTTCATGGTATTATAAATAGGGATTTTGGTAGTTATTTTTATGTCACGAGAATTGCAAAGAACCTTAGTTATTTGTGAAGTGAGATCAAAATGCTCAGCAGAAAACTAACGGTTGATTTATTAATACTCTTTTCTTGGCTAGTGAAGAAGACCAACTCCGCGTTGTTTTTATCATCTCTATATCTCCAATAAACAGGTGTCCTTTGTGCTACAACAACAACAACAGACTCAACTCAGTCTAATCGCACAGTGTGAGGAGGGTAGTGTATACGCAAACGTTATACCTACCCGGTAAAGAAAATGGAGAGGTACAAGATAATTAAGGAAGTTGGTAATGGTACATTTGGGAGTGTGTGGCAAGCTTTGAATAAACAAACCGGTGAAGTGGTTGCAATTAAAAAAATGAAAAAGAAATATTGTTCATGGGAAGAATGCATAAACTTAAGAGAAGTCAAGTCATTAAGAAAAATGATCCATCCAAATATCATTAAGCTTAAGGAAGTGATTAGGGAAAATAATGACATTTTATACTTTGTGTTTGAATACATGGAGTGTAACTTATATCAGCTAATGAATGATAGGCCTAACATTTTCTCAGAATCACAAGTGAGAAACTGGTGTTTCCAAATATTTCAAGGTCTTGCATATATCCATCAACGAGGATATTTTCATCGCGATCTTAAGCCAGAGAACTTGTTGGTTTCAAAAGATACAACAATAAAAATTGCTGATTTTGGTCTTGTTCGGGAGATAAATTCTCATGCACCATATACAGATTACGTCTCAACTCGTTGGTATCGTGCACCTGAAGTTATACTACGGTCACCGGTCTATGGTCCTGCTGTTGATATGTGGGCAATGGGTGCAATAATGGCTGAGTTATTAACTCTTCGTCCTCTATTCCCTGGTTTAAGTGAAGTAGATGAGATGTACAAAATATGCCGCGTTATAGGTACGCCATCAAAAAGTGAATGGGCGCGCGGGCACGAACTTGCTAGTGCTATTAACTATCAGTTCCCGCAGATTGGTGGTGTACATCTTTCTTTGTTACTTCCATCTGTTAGTGAGGATGCAGTTAATCTAATCGCTTCGCTTTGTTCTTGGGATCCTTTCAAGAGGCCAACTGCGGTCCAAGTTCTTCAGCATCGGTTTTTCCAGAGTTGCTTTTATAGACCTCCGTCGCTATGTTCTAAGGCTGCTGTTGCTAGCACGGTTGGAAGCACGAGCCAAGCTACGGGTTCGACTGAACCTAATAACTTTTGCTTAAACAGTGTATTTGATGTTTAGAATTCATTGACTATGTACAAATGTAAAATTTAGAATCTAGTCACTAACACTTGAATTCGTCTATCTAAAATCCAGAACCCATAATATTAAAATCCTGGTTGCGCCTCTGTTTACTGGGACCCCTCCGTATGCTGGAATGCTGGGGGCCTTGGAGCAAAAAACCAATAGGTGGTCGTCTAGTACTTTAACCAACGTCCCAAAGCCTAGTAGCAATTTCTCTCATGTCAAGTCACAGTATAGCCCGAGTTTCCGGGCAAAGTTGCAAATGAATTATCAGGATGAAACGAAGAATGATAAATCCCTAAAAGGCTCTAATAGCCAACAAAATATTGTCAACATGACCATTAGTTGTTGTTGAGCACCTATGTATAAAGTAGTCATAGTCTCCCTAGGTTGATAAATTCCTTCAATATAGCGTTTGTAAAATTTTCTCTAGTTTGGTTCTTTTCTATAATTCAGAACGCATAAACTCAAATTCTAGCTCCGTGATTTAGCTTAGATCCACGACTAGCCTTGAACGAGACAGGCCGGCAATAAATTTGAAGCCCCAAGTAATACCTTGAACGATTAAAGCTTTGTATTTTAAATGGCATTGTTATTTCCCTTTTCTACTTAAGGCAATGAAGTATTTTTGCGCTCTTAAAAACACTTTTTAAATAGTATGATCAGCATTGACAAACACAATGATGTACTAGATCTTTGCGGTTGGATGAGTAGATAATCAGGTAATGTTGACTTAATATATAATAGATGTATAAAACAGTGCCTTTTGTGATTGAGCCACATATAGAATGTTGTCCATTAGCTTAGAATAACTTCTCATGTCCAGCGATCCCTCAATGTTATACATAGGTCCGCCTCTGAGTGAATACGAAAAGCACAAGGTCCTAAAAGAAAAGAAAATGGCATGGCAAAGATGGAAATTTTTTCTGTTTTTGACGTGCAGAGTGATGTTTTTAGCACAAGTATATACCGCAGATGATAGCTTAACTCAATCTCAGCAACTGTCAATGAATCAGACACTTGTTTCTGCTGGTAAAATATTTGAGTTTGTTGCCTATACAGCATCTTTACTTTCTAGTAGAGTCCACTTTGGTTATCGCTACACCCTCTCTACACAAACGATTTGATTCAAGCCACTCCACCACTGGTACAATACTTCAGTCCAAGTAACTCGAACAGACTATATCTCAGTATGTGGTTCAAGGATATTCCTGGCCAAAGGATTGTATGGGTAGCAAACAGAGAACCACTCCCATCTTCTAATTCTGCTGCAATCTTGAAGATTGGAGACGATCGATGGGAACCTCAATATTGTGGATGGCAATCAAAATACCGTTTGGTCAACCAATATCTCTGTCCCGTCTAATAACACAACGTGCTTACGGACAAAGGCGAATTCATTCTTAAAAAACATTGTCTCGGGAACACTTTTATGGGATAGTTTTAACTGTCCTTGTGATACCTTGTTATCAGGAATGGTTATAGGATACAACACCAGGTCCAGGGAGAAGCTTGTCTTATCATCAGAGGCGGAGCCAGGATTTAAAACTTATGGGTTCACTATTTTAATTCTTTTAAGTTACTGAGTTCTAAATTAATCATTTGTGCGTAATTCAATAACTTTTTAAGACAAATACAAGGTTTGGACAAAAGTTACTGGATTCAGCTGAACCTGTATCCGAAGGGCTAGCTCCGCCCCTGCTGATCATCGTGGAAGGCTGAAGATGACCCGTCGCCTGGAAAGATTATTGCTCAGAACTGCCAAAAGTGGTGTCTGAATTAACTGCCAAAAGTGGTGTCTGAATTATGTGCAGCCTATGCATATCCAGATGAAATTAACTGCATGGTTTGGACATCAAAATTTATGGATGTTCAGCAGTTTCCATATAATGGCGCGAATTTGTTTCTTCGTCTTGCTTTTTCTGAACTAGGTAAATTCAGTTCTCAACATTATGCTTAGAAGATTTTTATGGATTTGGATTATAAAATAACATAGTTTTAGGTGAAGATAAATGGAAGGCAAAGCTTATCATCTGCTTCACAACGGTTTCAAGCATTCTCATGTTGAGCATCTTTAGGTGCATTTTCTGCAGGTGGAAAGCAAATAAAAGAGGTAAACGATTCTCCTGATTTACAGATAAATTACTGCTGCTGATGTGAAAACTAAAGGCATCATAACGGATATCATACAGGGAAAACTGGAAAATAGACAAGTAATAGCTGTGAAACAATTACGTAGTTACTCTGGACAAGGAATTGAAGAGTTCAAGAATGAAGTATTTCTAATCTCCAAACTGCAACACACAAGAACCTCGTTAAAATATTGGCCTATTCCGTTCAGAGGAAAGAGAAGCTAGTAGTTTATGAGTACATGGCTAACAGAAGCTTAGACACTTTACTGTTTGATAAGTTGGTTCCAACTATAATTTCTACAATGACATATTTCTTGATCAACATAATTTACTTTCTATCCTCCCTTTTTATAGTTAACGATCTTTAATTCTCTATTAACAATGTGTATATTGGAAATGGTAATGTAATCATATTGTCATATCCAAAAAGAAGCCATCAGCTTCCTTGGCCAAAATGTTTCGACATGATTCATGGCATTGCTAGAGGGCTTCTTTACCTTCACCGCGATTCTTGTTTAAGGGTCATTTACCGAGATTTGAAGGCAAGCAATATTCTCTTGGATGATGATATGAATCGAAAAATCTCAGATTTCGGCTTGGCTAGAATCTTTGAAGGGACTCAAGAGCTAGCAAACACTAACAAGATAGTGGGAACATTGTAAATACCTCTACTTCTGCAAGCTATATATTTATCTGCTACTATGTTGGCCTAAGCAGGAGGTCTGTCGGAAAACGTATCTGTGCCTGCACATGGTAGGGATAAGACTGCGTACACACTACCCTCCTCATACCCCACTTGTTGGATTACACTGGGTTTGTTGTTGTTGTTGATGTGATAGCAAATCTAACTCATTTTTATACAAATATGTTGCAGCGAATATATGTCACCAAACCTGATGTTTATTGGTTTGGTGTTTTACTACTAGAGATTGTCAGTGGCAAGAAAAACAACGGATTTTATGAACATGAAACACATCTCAACCTTCTCGGTAATGCAAGTGCAAAATCAACAGATCTCTTGACCTGAATTCAGTAGTCAGCTATGTTGCTCAGACTCTCCAAAAATGTTGTTGGGTACACTTTGGATCCTCAAAAAATAATGCAATTTTGGAGGATCCGATAAGTGTGCAGTAACATTTTGGAGAGTCCATGCAACATAGGTGTTCAGTGGTATCTGCTGACTTACTCTTATATTATCATTTTAAAACTATTTTAGGCATGGAAGTTATGGTTTGAAAGCAAAGGACTAGACTTTATGGACAAAGTGATTGCGGACTCATGTTCCCCTGCTACAGTTCTGAGATGCAAAAATATGCCAATTCAAGAAAATACTAAGAATGTAATTGAGTTTCAAGATGCTGACTGTCATTTTAATGTGTACCATTTTAAGGACCTACAACCGGTTTCAAGATGAAGACTTACTCCCTCTCATCTCACGAATAATTAAAGAGAGATAACTCCGGTCACCAACTATGCAGATACTCAGACATATATGAAATAGAATAAAGATGGACCAAGCTACTTATGAATGTAACCACAATTAACATCACTAGGTCGGGCTATCGAACACGGGGTCAGAAGTGAATTACGAGTGAGACAAATTTTCGACTAGAGCGAGCTCCCCTTCCATGCAATGATGTGGTGGTAAATCTCTCTGATGTTTTATACTTCAATACCACACAAGAGGGGGGAGGGGGTGATTTGTGGTGCCTGATTTTCACGTGCACTGAATTATCGAAGGGCTTGATTTTTCTATGTATTCCTTACACTATAGTTGCGGAATAAATAATACAGAAAGTAAAGAACACAAGGATTTTTACGTAAAAAATACTTGGCTCAAAAGGTAAAAAACACCACGACCTACTACCCAGTAGGATTTTTCCCAAATACATCACTACAACTATAAGCCAACAACAAAGTTTACAAACTCTTGCAAACCTAAAGATTACCTCTAACCCTGTAGCAACTAGCCAAAAGTTGTTGCGACTGCTTCAAGTTAACTCTAACTTGAACAATACAAAAGTTTACAACCTCTTGCAAACTTAAGGATTAACTCTAACCCTTATAGCAACACGCCACACGCTGATGCGACTGTTTCAAGTTAACTCTAACTTGAAAGATACAACGCAGGTACCTAATACAATTTGCTTCTTAGAAAGCTGAAAGGTACAACTCAAAACGCCTACTATACTTTGAACTAGAAATAAAGAAAGACATATAAAACTCTTTATGGAGTTGGTTCTTCAATCTGGTTCGTGATCGCACTCTTAAATCTCATAGGAATTGCTCGCAAAATGCCTTGCTATTTTGCTCTTAATTCGTGCTTAACTTCAGTATGTGTGTATCACCTGTAAAAGAGAACAAAACTGATATTTATAGAGTTAGTAGAATAAGAATTAACTATAAGTGTAATGCTTACTCTTCCTTGGTGGAAGAGTTCTAGTTGTCTTCAACTTCTAACTCTTTTCTTATCTTGGATAGAGTTTTCTTTAAGTAAGGAGTCCTACTCCTTATCATTTATGTAACCTTTTCGTTTAGGGATTATAAAAAATAACCACTTATACTTATCCTTTTCACGTGCATGCCTTTTGCTTGATTCTGCCCGTCACCTGTGTACACTGTTCATGGACTTGGTTCATGCATGTGTTCCTTTGTCAATCATCAAAATCAAAATCGCTCAGGTCAACACTCTCATTCTAATTCATTGCTCTTCAAATGTGCGGGAAACCTCTGTCTTAATTTATGTGACATTTTCTCTCTTTTCGAGATTCAAACTTCTTGATATTCACCGTGTTTAAACATAGTATTTTTTAATATAGTCTATCCACCGAGGCTTTCACCTCTCGTGGTGACGGGGGGTTTGGCCTGGACCCCTACCTTTTAAATTATTTAAAAGAAAAGATTACAACGAGGGGGACATATAACCTCACCTCAAAAGTTACAAGGGATAGTAGGGGAAGAAAAGGTGGGGCTTTTCCCTGGAACCTTATACAAAATATTAGGAAATTAGGAAAATACTTCCTATTAAATTT